GAACAAACTCAAAGTTACTTCTAGTTGACGTTCTGAGAAATAACGCAAACACTAGTTTGTAGAACTATTTTTTCTTGAATTGACTTTGGGAATTGTTGTGCCACTATTGATTATCGAAGAATGGCATTGGCTGTAAGGGAAGTCGATGTGGATTATTTTCTGGTAAAAGACAGAAGTTTTTTAAATCAATACAGTTTTCCCTGGAACTCTTTACTTCAATAATATTTGGTATCCATCAAGATATGAGTGCTAAGACTATGCTTCAGAGCAGTCAGTAAAAAATACGTAACAAATAACAGTTTTCATGAGGAAGTAGATTTAAATAAAATTACAAAATAATGTAATGGTTGTTGTAATTCGTGCAGATCTATTAGTATGATCCGTTTTGATATTGGTGAACGGCAGTTGGTTATCGAAATTGTTAATGACTCAGCTAAACAAATACGGACGCTTTTGGAACTAACAAAATACCATCGTTTATTTAAGCTTGCTGTAAACACACCGCCCAACGGTGAATAGACCTATGTAAAGATCTCAAGGATATTCGTCAAAAAGCACGAAATGGAATTTAGTTTTAAAGTCAACAGTTTTTCGACTCTAGAATTTTTCTGATATAGTTTCAAAATAATAGTATGCCTATATAAATCAGAATGAAATAATATATTTTGCTTTTTTTTAAATATACGAGGAAATACTATTTCTTCAATTGCGCCTACGCAAGATAAACTGTGTAATAAAAAATACACTTAATAGTGAAGGGTTGCTCACGAATACCCATTTACTCCTACATCTATAATCATACCAGAACCAGTTAATTATTTCTGATATAATAATTATTTCAAAAGACTACAATCACACAACAATCAACATAAATAATACTTAATTTTCAAATGGAAAGAATTGTTTTTGACTGTGCATTGTGTAGATGGAACAACTGCTCCTGTGAGCCACATTCCCACAAAATCAATATAAATAATTTAAGTAATGCATAAAGTTGAGTAATTGTTATTTCATGAGGCAATAAGTTGAAAAAATTATTTAATTTAAAAACTTTTCAAATGCGATGCCTACACAGTAGCACCAAAGGTGTCATCCTGAAATGTCAGAAATGCTAGTAAATAGCAACACGTACTTTACAAGGCAATGGAAAATTTGGAAACTATGCGGCATATATGCTGAACCTCGTCTTAACTACAAAACGCTTTATTGGACTTACGCTGTTTTGTTGAACATAATCGTGACAATTCTTTATCCTCTGCATCTATCCGTGTTAATTTTTCGTAATGATACATTAGGCGATGATATAAAGAACCTATCTATTTTTCTAACCACAGTTGCCGGAAGTATAAAATTTCTTAGTTTTGCAATGAATTTAAAAAAAATGCCGGAGATTCAAAACCTATTAAATGAATTAGATGCACGTGTGAGGAGTAAAGACGAGCGCCACTTTTATAATACCGAATTGAAAATGAAAATGAAGATAACTGGAAACATATATCTCGTTCTCTATATAATAGTAGCTATAACAGCTGAACTAACCACACTCATGAGTAAAGAACGAGTACTACTTTATCCTGCTTGGTTTCCATTTGATTGGCGCGCCAGCACCACAATGTACTTATTAGCACACTTATACCAAATAATTGGTATTTCCACAATATTAACGCAAAATTATGCTAATGAGACCACACCAGGTCTATTGCTTTGCTTGCTAGCCGGTCATATTAAGCTGCTCGCATTACGTGTCGCCAAAACTAGTCACAACTGTGAAAATCCGCAGGAAAATGAGCTGGAACTGCTGCGTTGCGTCAGAGATCAGAAAAATCTTTACAGGTAAAACAATCTTAATTTCAATTTATTTATACAATAAATAATAAAAATGTATTGTTTTCAGATTGTGCGATTTGATTGAGGACCTTGTTGCCTTTCCGATGTTTGTGCAAATTACTATTGCCGCTGCCAACATATGCGTGGCCCTAGCCGCTTTATTGTTTTATCTTAACGACTACTTCAATCGAGCATATTACTCTCTTTATTTTTTTGGATTATTTTTACAAATCTTTCCGGCCTGCTATTTTGGCACTGAGTTTCAAATGATGTTCGACCAGCTGCCGTACGCTGTTTTTTCCAGCAACTGGATGCATCAGAGCAAACGATACAAGATGCACATGATTTTGTTCACTGAACGTGCCCTAATGCAAAGGACTATTTTGGCTGGTGGAATCGTACGACTAAACTTAGAAGCTTTTCTGTCAGCGTGCAAAGGAGCTTATTCCTTATTCGCAGTCTTTTTAAACTTAAAGGAATAAGCGTTAGAAATAAGTACATTCAATTAATTATTATAATTATATATACTTTTAAAGAATTAGAGAAATGAGAAATTATTATTATATGAAATAACTTAATTAAAAATATATTTTCTGATATAAATAGAAATAATTTCAATCTAATTGATTAATGTATCTTTTGAAATGCACTTAACTGGCAATTCTAACATTAAGAGACGAATACTTGGCATATAAACTAAGAGGAAAGAATCTTATTTCAATTAAACTGAATGATTTAATATTTGTGTGAAGTAGAAGTATAAGTAATAGTATCCCATCATCTATATAAATCCATATAAATTGCTTTTAAACTGGCTTTGGATATCTGCTATATATATTCTGTTAATTATCTGGAAGGATTACTATACTGGTCCAACAAATAAGGCGATATGTTAAAGCTTTTGAATATAGGATATGTTTATATCCCTTAAGCTCTTTAAACGACTTTCTATTGATTTTAATGTAACAGATAATTCATTATCAACAAGCGTAGACTATGCTTTTTGTTCAAATATTACATATAGAAGACTTCAAGACATTACTTTAACGTAAGAGTTGGTCAAGTAATCGTAAAATAGAGACATTAATTTGAAGTAGTTTAATCCTTCGACTAGAAACACGTAAGCAGTTTCAATTCAATTGAATGCTGTGAAAAATATTGTCTTACCAGTACTCATGTACAAATTTAAAACTTGGATGAAACTATAACCTCTTAGCCATATTTAAGTGTTAAAATTATTCCACTGCATATAAGGAAACATATAAAGAAGCATATATATATATTTGCAATATAATAAAAAGCAATATCTAAGTATACCTATGCTTTAAAGTGACAAAAATAAAACTTAGAGGTTTTTGGTGGTCTCCAGGGGTGTACTACTTAGTTACCATGAGCGAAAAGAATCATGATTGATTCTTCCAATTTTATGATGGATGGCTGCGAGTTTGAGCCTAGTTCTACTGAAAAAGTAATGTATACCACATTATTTGGATCTTAGAGGTGCTTAGCTCGATAATATTAGCTTACCCAGGGTTTGTTGAATGAATGTGACACGGAATCTAAAATCGGACATTGGTTGTAGTGTCAATGATGATGACGATGACATAAAAAACTATTCTATAAAATAATTTAAAACAATTTAGAATATTGTTCATATACGGTAAAATCACATTATAATTATTTTTCATATTCAAGTCAGCATTTCGATTGATAAGAATGAAAAGCTTCATTCACACTCTTTCTGTGTTGATATGGATAATTAATTCTGTGAATGTTTTAATTTAATTTATCTGAACAAAGACTACGTATGGAAGGTTATATTAACTCGAAAGTTAAATGATTAGTATGTTTATACTGGCTCCTCGGAGAGGTATGCAGATCTGAGGTCAATTATCTGATGAAGTGATAAACAATAATCTAGTCAAGGCGTTAAGAGAGGTGTTTTGAAAATACCTCGAGTTAAGAAAGAGTAAAAGTGCACTGGCTCAAATAGCTTCAACATAATATAATATATACAAGGCATTAGAAATGCCTTCGTAAATGTAGGGAACCTTCTACCCATAATAGAAGTGCCATTGATTTTTTGATCACTTCTTTTTAGAACCTTGATTTTATTATTGAGCAATAATATAAAATCAAGTAACGATATAAAATCTATTTCGGAATTAATTTTGCGAAAAATATTTCTTCACTTTTAATTTGTTTTGCGACAATTTTCAATTAGATAATTGGTTTTAAATGCATTTTCTAATATTAATAATTCAATAAAATAATTATGAGAAAATTATTTTGAACTTTTTTGCTGCACTAGTCAATTATTCAAAGGACTAAAAACATCTGTCAAGACTGCATAGTTTGCAAGTAACAACGCAAACTTGTAGATAAAATTGCTTCGCATTTGCCAAAGTTGGAAGGACCTTCAAAACTATTAACATTGAAGTTTTTGCTGTATTAAATTAAAACTTAAGTATCTCAGTTAATCAAACAATTAAATGAAAAATAAAAAATTTTTAATCATATTTGTTAATTCCTTAATAACTGTTAACTCGTATAGTATTAAACTGAGTAATTTACCTCCTTTACGCATTTAATTAATTCAGTAAAAAATCATAAAGTAATTTTAGAAGCATTACTAGGGCATCAAGCCTTTTACGCTGACATTTATCCTTAATAATTTTGAGCTCATGGCAGAACGCATAAAATTAGCAAGTTTATTGTAAACGAGCAACAACAACACTATTCACGCAAAAAAATTTTAATTTTCATTTCTGAGGAAAACATTCAAACCAGAGTGAAAAAATCCTTTAAAACAAAATATTTCAACACTTGAACGAGCAGCAAGTAACCAACTGGGAATGCCATTATGATGCGGAACAACGAAGCTGAAGCAGAAGCTGAAGCTGAAGCAAGAGCTGAAGTAGAAGCGCCAGTGCCAGCACCAGCACCACCGCCATTAACAGAATGTCGCCTTGCCTGGTTTTGTTTCATTAAAAAAATGCTCAAGTGTTATAAATTCATGGTTTACTATAAATTTCAAAGACTGCAAAGTTAAGCAAGGATAAATACGCAAGGATGAAGTGCGCCTTGTTGCGGCAGAAGAGTTGGTTTTTAATTAATACTCGTATTCACCAAGGTATGTTAACTGCCCCTGTCTCCTTTATTCTTCGCACTACGATTGCACCCGCATACTTCATCCTATTTTACGCGTTTTGTATAAATTTTGCCTCATTTAAATTCCTGACTTTTTCTCAACGCATTTTCTACTACGACTAGAGACACTCGCATCTAAGCATGTGTGTAGGTATGCCTTATTTTAGATTAATTAAAATTATTAAAGAATTGTTGGTTGCACGCAAAACTGTGCAAAACTGTGCAATTTAAACGCAATATCGAACCTTTATCAAGCCAACTCACAGAATGCAGGAACGCCAAGTATTCAACATGCAAAAATGCTTGCTTAATTAAATTTGACATTTAAAAATTACGCCATTAATAAAATTGACAGGAACCGCGTCGAATCTGACACTTTCACTTTTCTGCTTCATCTTCCACGGCTTTGTGCTCGTTAGAGAATGTGGAATCGTATTCTGTTAACATGAAGCTGAGGTATTTAGCACAGTCTCACGCACGCTAAATACTTGGGGTGGCTGGTGGCTGTTGTGGCAGCTCCTCCAACCATACCAACCAACCAACCATGGCTACGACGCGATTATGAGTCGTTTATGTGAGGCAAGAACAGAGCTTAAGCACTAATCCCACGCTAATATGCAAAGAATACACACAGCGAGATGTGCACATTGCCAAGTCCTAATGGCGTTCCTACGATTTCGTTTAATGTGGTGTGGATGTTTAGAAATAAAATGTTGACATGGCTTTGTCAAAGCCATGCTGTGTGCACATATTAAAGCATAAATTTCAATTATGCAAGTAACTTTGCAAAAAAGAAATTATTTTTTTATATGTAGATATATATTATGATATAACAGGTAGCTGTTAATAGATAGAAAAAACCCTTCTAAAAACAGAGATGTCAAAAATTGATGAATGTTTGTGAGAGGATTAAATACAGCAGATTTTATTAAAAAAGAGATTTGATAATACATTTTATTTCAATGCATTGCGTATATTAGTTTATATTTGATGAAAATCACTAAATATATTGAAAGGAAAATGTCCAACATATGACTAAATAACATTTGTTTGCTACTTTAGCAAGCGACACAGATTACAAACCAACTATAATCAGTAGGATTGCAACCAGTCAGCAACGATTACTAGCTGCATGTGATTAAACAACAGTCCTTGACTACTCACCCTGCAATTCGATTATAAGGGATACAATAGCTAGCAACTGTACCTAGCAAACGATGCACACTATAGTCAAATTTTCTTGAATACAGTAGTCAGACACTATTATCCAAACATGCGTTGGAACTAACTTTGAAATATTATGAGGGAAAAATATAGTGTCAGAAAAGAAAAACTAGTTCCAGGCTTAATTTATTTTTAGCTCTATTAAGCAGACACCGAGGAGATCAACAATGCCATCCTAATCAAAGAACTGTCCCTATTTAATTAATAAACTTTGTGTAAAACATGACAAGTTAATTGACAACATTATACATTTTTATATATAAGAAAGTTCGTTTGAGACAGCACCTACAGTAATTCCAATATGAATGAAGAACTCAATATTCAATGGAGCGTCAATGGATCATTAGTTAGATAAGTATTATCAATACATAAATAGATAGTCGGATGAATGCACCGTAGTAGGACTCAATTTAGTAATCGAAAATTCTACCATAAACCCTTCTTGATAAAATAATGTTTTGGTATTATTCATACTATTCGCAGAAGGTAATAAGAGATAACTGGGTTAATATCTGCCTTTGCAGGACACTGGACCATAGGACGGCATGAAGCTTGGGTTGGCCTACCATATGGCATCTCCTGCAATGTGTGTCTACTAGTTCTCGAAGGAAGGACACCAGAGTACTAGGCTAAAGTTTCTGGAGGCTCCCTTCTTCAACACACTCGGCGATATCTCTAGCATATGCATTGGCCAGATTCTTGCCTTTATAAATGCTTCTGGCTGGTTCTAGCTTGAGCTTCTGTCTACTATCCTCTGTTACGAGATTTTTGTAGATTCTAAACGGCTTTCTTTGCTAATTGAGGAGGACTCGTACCTCCCTCCACCACAACTAACGAACTAACTATTCATACTATCATTACTCTCTAGCAGATATATTAGGTGTACCGGTATGAAATGAGCGTTTTTTGGTGAAAATAAAACACTAATTATTAATAGGAAAGTAAAAAACATTTTATTCAAAGTATTGGCCATTGCTTTCTACACATTTTGACCACCTTTCTGGCAATTTGTGGATACCACGCCAAAAAAATTGTTCGTCTTTTAAAGCAAACCAACCAGACACCCAATTTTCGACCTCCTCGTAGGAATCAAAGTGCTGCTCAGCCA